CGCAGGCGCTGCTGCTGCTACTGCTGCTGCTGCTGCAGCTGCAGCTGTTGTTGTTGTCCACGTTGCCACAGGCGCTGCTGCTGCAGCTGCTGCAGCTGCAGCTGCAGCCGCAGCTGCTGCTGCGGCTTCTGCTGCTGCTTCTGCTGCTGCTGCTGGAGCTTTGTGTTATCTCCAGCTGCTGCTGCGGCTTTTGCTGCTGCTTCTGCTGCAGCTGCTGGAGCTTTGCTTATCTCCTAGTTCAGAGAAGTATCGTGCGAAGTGAGAAAGAGTCCCCCAAATAAGGGTTTAGGGTTTAGGGTTTAGGGTTTAGGGTTTAGAAAGAGGCCCTCGCTGTTGTTGTCCTTGTGAAGCTACATAGGTCTCCCTTATGCAAGTGGACAAAGGAACATCAGCTGGCCAAACCCTAAACCCTAAACCCTAAAGCCTAAATTCTAAACCCTAAACCCTAAACCCTAAACCCTAAACCCTTCCAAACGAGGGCGGCAGCAAGGACAAAAACGAAAGGCCCTTCTTTATGCCTTTAATTGCGCTTTAAATCTATTTAATTAATTCAAATTTTATTTTCGGGAAATGGATATAAACCCTAGAGCGTGGGGGCCCCTGGGGGCCCCCCTTGGGGGCCCCCAAGATGGGGGCCCCCCATGAGTAATAAATAATTTAGTTTTTCCTTATGGATTTTTATTTACTTAAACATAAAATAAAGTATATTATTATTTCAATTTGCATGCACTAAATATAGTACACAGGGACTTCAGCCAAACCCTAAACCCTAAACCCTAAACCCTCGCGCGCAGCCGAGTCTCGAGTTTAGAGGCTCCAGCTGCAACAGCCCTAAAGCCTAAGTCCCAAAAAATGCATTTTTGAATTAATATAAATATTATAAAAATAAATAAATAAATAAATAAATAAAATCACAAAAGTGTATTTTGAGGGTTTATATAAAAGTCCTTTTATTTCATTTCATTTCGTTCTTCCACTTGTCTTTTCTCCATTGTCACTTCACGTTGTTTCGCTAATCGCTAAACCCTAAACCCTAAACCCTAAACCCTAAACCCTAAAATATCAGCCGATAGCCTCTTGAGCCCTCAGCCCCTACAGCGCTTTGACTCTAAGCCCTAGACACTAAACCCTAAACCCTAAACCCTAAACCCTACATCCTAAACCCTTATTTTAATGCGCAGTTCGCAATAAGTTTGGAGCCCGTTCGAAGAAAGAAAAAATCCGGATATGAAACCCTAAACCCTAAACCCTAAACCCTAAACCCTTGATCTCGGCCAGAAGCGCCTTCTGGGGCCTTCTGAGGATTTGTCAGGGCGGCGAGGGTTTGAAGTTTCTGTGGGGCTCAGCTTCCCTCGAGGGTTTAGGGTTTAGGGTTTAGGGTTTAGCGTGTTTAGATCAGGTCTGCCACATTCATTGGCATCTCATCAATCTGCGTCGCATAGTACTGCTCAATATCTCTTAAGATGCGGATATCGTCATTCTGCAAAAAACGCAAACCCTAAACCCTAAACCCTAAACCCTAAACCCTAAACCCTAAACCCTCGCCCCAAAGAGCAGCCCCCGTGAGAGCAGCAGCCGCAGCAGCTGCAGCAGCACGCTGGCAGCAATCGCCAGCTCAACAACACACCGCTGCTAGGGTTTAGGGTTTAGAAATTAGGGTTTAGGGTTTAGAAATTAGGGTTTAGGGTTTAGAAATTAGGGTTTAGGGTTTAGGTACCTTAACAAAGTTGATGGCAACACCCTTTCTTCCGTATCGTCCCGAACGGCCAATGCGGTGTATGTACAGCTCACGACTGTTCGGGAGATCATAATTTATAACCAGCGACACCTAAACCACAAACCCTAAACCCTAAACCCTAAACCCTAAACCCTAGCCCTGGAGCACTTCCTGTGCACTGTTTAACGAAGCAAACCCTCGCACTGCTGCTGTCCCCAGCACCCCCTCCCCCCCTTCCTGCTGCTGCTGCTGCTGCAGTTGGGAAGCGCGGGACTTAGGGTTTAGGGTTTAGGGTTTAGGGTTTAGGGTTTAGGGTTTACCTGTTGGACGTCGAGCCCTCTGCCCCAAACGTCCGTGGCAATCAAAACCCTACTTTGGCCTTCTCTGAATTCCTTCATGATTTCGTCTCTTTCTTTTTGAGGCATGTCTCCGTGAATGCGGCTAACCTGAAAATAAATTAATTAATTAAATAAAATAAAATAAAATAAAATAAAATTAAATAAAATTAAATAAAATTAAATTAAATTAAATTGAATTAAATTGAATTAAATTAAGTAATTAAAATGATTGAGGGAGAATAAATCAATTGAAATACATAAATTGTAATAGTTAAAAAATGCTTGTGGGATTAATGTTCAAATGAATCACCCCAAACACCACTAAACCCCACCAAACCCTAAACCCTAAACCCTAAACCCTAAACCCTCACTGTGAAGTTGGCCTCCTTGCGTTTTTGCGCGATCCACTCCAACGAATGCCCCCCACCCCCCGCACCCCCCACCC